TCAGGCATTGATAAAGTGGGCCAATCACCCTTCCCGCCTCAATGGCAACAAATCTCTCGACGCCATGGCAGTTCAACTCCAACAAGCACGTCACCGTCTCGGACGGCATGCATCGGCTGCGTTGACTTGTCTTGAGTTGTTTTGCATGTTCATGCTGTCGCAGATTTCTCGGTTTCATAGCCCCTGGAGTTGTCTCACCGCCATTGGTTCGCGTATCATGTTCAGTTCGACGCCAAACTTCGAGTACAACATAGTTGCTGGTCTGGCGTTTCCGTTTCTGAATGGATTAGAGTCTACATGCCGGGTCCATGGACAAGGTAGCTGACTTCACCATGGGACCAGCTCCGGGACTACCTTTCGCCTATCATGAGTGGCACAAGTTCTACCACTTTGAGGTATATTGACAGCACGGGAAACACCACTACGGACTCCCTGACCCAGCCGGTCTCCTATGCGTCCTTTTAATTTTGAGTGCGAGTGTTTCTCAAATACCTGGCACGCGGTGCACACGGTGAGTAGCTGGTTGCCCCCGGATGGAACTGTGCAGACCACCAGCCAGGATAATTTGGACCAATTTCGCAACTTCATCAATGGCAATGACGTTCAGTTGTTCGTTCAGACGCATGGAACGGTGAATTTCCTTATGTGGCGCTGTCTGAGCGTTCGCTGCGTTGACTTGTCTTGAGTTGTTTTGCATGTTCATGCTCTCGCAGCTGTCTGAGCATCGGCTGCTGGGCCTTGTCTTGAGTTGTTTTGCATGTTCATGCTCTCGCAGATTTCTCGGTTTCATAGTCCCTGGAGTTGTCTCACCGCCATGGGTTCGCGTGTCATGTTCAATTCGACTACCTTCCACCTATCGTGAGTGGCACAAGTTCTACCACTTTGAGGTATATTGGCCTCGTGACAGCACGGGAGGCACCACTGCGGACTCCCTGACCCAGCCGATCTCCTATGCGTCCTTTTATACCTGGCATGCGGTGTGCGCGGTGAGTAGCTTGTTGCGCCCGATTTCTCGGTTTCATAGCCCCTGGAGTTGCCACCGCCATTGGTTCGCGTATCATGTTCAATTCGACGACAAACAGGAGGTGGCCTGTCCCACGCTACTTCGAGTACGACATGGTTGCTGGTCCTGGCGATTCCGTTTCTGAATGGATTAGAGTCTACATGGCAACCGGTAGCTGACTTCCAGCTCCGGGACTACCTTCCACCCATCGTGAGTGGCACAAGTTCTACCACTTTGAGGTATATTGGCCTCGTGGCAGCGCAGACCACCAGCCAGGTTACCTTGGACCAATTTCCCAACTTCATCGACGGCATTGACGTTCAGTTGTTTGTTCAGACGCATGGAACGGTGAGTTTCCTTATTGGGCGCTGTCTGAGCATCGGCTGCGTTGCCTTGTCTTGAGTTGTTTTGCATGTTCATGCTCTCGCAGATTTCTCGGTTTCATGGCTCCTGGAGTTGTTTGACCGCCATTGGTTCGCGTATCATGTTCAATTCGACGACAACCGGGAGGTGGCCTGTCCCACGCTACTTCGAGTACGACATAGTTGCTGGTCCTGGCGATTCCGTTTCTGAATGGGTCTACATGCCGGGTCCATGGCAACCGGTAGCTGACTTCACCTTGGGACCGGCTCCGGGACTACCTTCCACATATCGTGAGTGGCACAAGTTCTACATCTTTGAGGTATATTGGCCTTGTGACAGCACGGGAGGCACTCCCTGATCCAGCCGGTCTCCTATGCGTCCTTTTATACCTGGCATGCGGTGTACACAGTGAGTAGCTTGGTGCACCCGGATGGAACTGTGCAGACCGCCAGACAGGTTACTTTGGACCAATTTCCGAACTTCATCAATAGCAATGACGCTCAGTTGTTCGTTCAGACGCATGGAACGGTCAATTTCCTTATTAAGTCTGAGCATCGGCTGCGTAATGTTCTTGCTCTCGCAGATTTCTCGATTTCATAGCCCCTGGAGTTGTCTCACCGCCATTGGTTCGCGTATCATGTTCAATTCGACGACAACCGGGAGGTGGCCTGCTTCGAGTACGACACAGTTGCTGGTCTGGCGATTCCGTTTCTGAATGGATTAGAGTCTACATGGCAACCGGTAGCTGACTTCACCTTGGGACCAGCTCCGGGACTACCTTCCACCTATCGTGAGTGGCACAAGTTCTACCACTTTGAGGTATATTGGCTTCGTGACAGACACCACTGCGGACCCTCCTATGCGTCCTTTTATGCCTGGTATGCGGTGTACACAGTGAGTAGCTTGTTGCGCCCGCATGGAACTGTGCAGACCACCAGCCAGGTTACTTTGGACCTAGTTCCCAACTTCATCAATGGCAATGACGTTCAGTTGTTCGTTCAGACGCATGGAACGGTGAATTTCCTCATCAGTCCTCGCTGTTCTTTCCGCCTGTCTTGCCATCGCTCACTGTGCAGCGGGGCGTTTACTTCCAGCTTCACATGGTGTTCCTGGATCGTGCTAATTCACGTTCTC